AAATAAACTAAAAACCTGATTTTTAAAATGGTAAACCTGCTTTTTAAAAAGGTATACCTAATTTTTAAAAATGTCAAACTAAATTCCTGGTTTTTTGTAATTTTCCCCTTTTTTTTTCAAATGGTGGGCTTGGGCAAGGGTGGGCTGGAAAGGATAATGGGGCTTTAACCATTTTTTTTTTTTCAGAGATTGGGCTTGGGCAAAGCCCACCCCTATCTCCACCCATGTATGCAGTCCACTAGGAGTGAGATTATATGGTTCTTAAGGAATAATCTTTATTTAAATTTTGTCCTCAACACATCCTCATGACTTTAACTCAGGTCTTTCGTCTATCTTTAGTATCATGTGAATCAGCTCGTGTAAATGCGTTTCTTTATTTAAATGTTATCTTCAACGATCTTGACAACTGATTCATTCCCAGGCCCTACATTCAATGTTGAATTTGATGATTTACCTCACTTTTCCAAAAATAACTTAAACGAAGCATTTGACCTGGTTTTAGTCGTTCTTGAATAAAAATTATTGAATGAATCAATAAAGTTCAAAAGGTTACTTGGTTTTTCCATGTAATGTTGCCTGAGTGAGTATGATCATGAAAAATATTAGTGATACATATATAAATGCTGAAATTTTAGTCCTCTGCAGTGAAAAAGATAGTCATTGAGTAATGGTGATTCTGTTGTTAGACATGGCATTTCACTTGGAAAAGAAGTGTTTTATAGATCCATAACCGTGGATTTAAATGAACTAGATCTTCTATCATTACCATGATGTCTCCATCGATTAGTATTACATAGACCTTTATTGAACGCCATTTTTACGAGTCTTTATAGAACCCTTTGAAGTTTCTGCACAACTATTCAGGGTCAATAAATGTTACTTCGTATAATCGCACTCTTGTAGGCGGAGAAAGTGTTGTCTATAAAGCGTGAATTGAGGTTGCTCATGAAGTAAGAATGGCCAGAGAAGCTGAAGCTGCAATGGATCTTCATGTGCAAAAGGCAGCAACAAAGGCAGCAGAGCATAAAGAAAACACCCATTGGTGGAAGGATTCAAACCTCCGAATAGCAGGACCAAAACCCAAAATCCGTTGCCTTACCACTTGGCCACGCCCCATTATCAATTTCTAATCTACCCTTATTAAATGGAGTTTCATATGCAGGTTTCTGCTGAATCAGCCAACCAGTTTGGAGAGTTGGTTGCAGATCCAATTACCAAGGAACTGTTGCACTACACAGAAAAACCTGAGACTTTTGTACGCATTATGAGTAAAGAATAAGTTTTGCTTGTTGATAATACTTGACCCGTGCTTCTTTTCTTTGCTTTCATATTTATGGTCCTATTTCTCATGGAATACAGGTTAGTGATCTGATAAACTGTGGTGTTTACGTCTTTACTCCTAAAATTTTTGACTCCATCGAGGATGTATATATGCACCAGGAAGACAGAGGTTAGCTGCATAATATATACTATCTTATTTGACTTCGTTGTATGAATTCTTTCCTCAGCTGCATGTTATCTCTTTTTATCCTTTTCCTCCTGTTTGCATCTACACTAATTAATCTAGTTTACAATAATTTCAACTTACACCGTTTCTAATTCAAGCAATAGTATAAAGTGGTTGCAAACAAAAAATACTGTTTGAGAACTGTAATAATCTTAAACAAACTCGGTTAAGCATCCAAAAATTAATATCTGATACACAATAAGTAATCAGATCGAAAAAAAAAAAAATCACTTCATATAATTAGTAGCACCAAATTTTCATTTACAGTAGGATTATTATTTTAATTTACATAGCAAGTTCATAGTATCAATTACTGATGAAATGTATGTTGTATTATATAGTAAACAGTAGAAACTTCTATAGAATTAGTTCACTATATTATGGAGGTAGAAAATTTATGTGCTGGAAAATCTCAAGGAGGCAGACAAGTGCCTGTCTGTCGGCGTTTCACCAATTTCCTAACACCCTTAGAGAAATTTGAATTTTTCCTTCCTAGCATAGACAGATTTGTCAGAATTCATGGGTGGTTCCCCATAAAATATGCTCCGTATATGTGTTGCTGCCATTAAACCTGAATTTTGGACCTGCCACTGATTTACTGATTGTTGTAAGAATCTTATGAGTGCACAGTTTTATGAATCCAATAATTNCTGATTTACTGATTGTTGTAAGAATCTTATGAGTGCACAGTTTTATGAATCCAATAATTGATGTCGTTCATGAAATGTTTTCAGATGAATTATCTGGATTGGAATATGAGGTTAAAAATGAAGGCAACGAGCGATGACTATTAATTTGCAACTTGCAATCAACTTAAGCTTTAAATTTGACTTGGTGGATAAGAAATAATTATTTTGCTTTAGCTAATTTGGATGTTGGAAATTCTTTGGGAAGTTAATATTTCCTTATTCGTTTGAGAAAAATACAAAGACGTCTATTGTAAGAGCAAAGCAAAGAAGATATTCAACCTAATACAGTTCCTAAAGAGAGAAATTAAGTTTGATGTGCCTGTTTTGCTTTAGGTGTAACACATTGAATAGTAAAATTCAGGCTATGGATACAGATTTCTATGAAATAACTTTGAAAGGTAATTGTATTCGTGTTTCCCAAGATATTAAGTATTAGATAGTCAACTAAATGTAGTTTGCTTGTGAATTATTTCCCTTTTTTGAGTGTGGGAAGAGAGATTGGAGCATGCATAACAATGTGACTTGATGGCACAAAAAGTTTCTGATCTATGCTTATTTCTGTTTTATTCAAGTATAATGCAGAAGAGAGTAAGCAGTAGAATTAAAATTGGAGAATCAATGAATTTGCCATTTGTTTTGTCCATTTAATGCACATCAAGGACTAAGCTATAAATAGCCCTGTAGACGAAGTAACACATACATCTGAGAATGCAAGGTCATATCTTATTCCATTATATATATTCAAGGTTTAAAAAGACGAAACTAAGTATTGAGGCGGTTTTTCTTTATGAGGCGAAGCATAAGCTTCGAGACGGATTGAGGCGTAAGCCTCACAAAAAACAAAAAATCTAAGTAAAAGAATTATAAAATAATACAAAAATACAAAAATAAAAGTTGGAGCATATAGTAAATATGATATATAGTCATTAGCATATTGAGATATAGTTCACCTAAAGAAAGATGTTTAGCA